AAAAAATCCATAAAAATTAAAAGTCCCGAAAATTACTCTAAATACACTTGGAAGCATGTTTTGGGACATAAACTTGTATTTAAAGGCATTTCTGGGACTTTAACTTACCAAACTCGTCTTACTATCACAAAAAAATGAAAAAAAAAAAAAAAATTTAAAAGTCTCACAGTGAACGTACTGTTATTGCAACATTGGTAAAATAGGAACAATCAACTGTATCAAGTTAATACTTGGTTTCCATTTTAAACTTTATTATGTTTCTATAATAGTTTAGCAAAGCAAACATTAAAGTGTGAAGGCATCATTTAATAGAATCTTTCATTCTCTCGTCCATCTTATGGCACCCACCAAACCTATTCATTAATCAAAGCAACATTTAACTTTTGTTTTTTTTTTTTAAAGAAAAGGAATTCCAACAGTTTCTCAATTTTTTTTAAATCAACAAAAGAAGGAAAAACTGTTACCAACAGCTTTTTGCCATAACAAAATTACAAATAATCAGCAAGCGTGATACATCCAGGAGTTCATTCTAGAACCCTCCGTTTGTGATTGTGGTTTTGTTACTATGAAATAAGGCAGATTTCCTTTCATACAATTGTAGACAATCTGATAAAGAGAGAGAGAGAGAGAGAGAAAGAGAGAAGCGAAAGCTGAGAGGACTGTAAATCCTGTGAAGTTCAAAGCAGTTTTCTGGCATGCACTGAAAATGGCTTTAAAAAGGTGTATGTGTGTGTGTGTGTTAGTGTATGGTGTGGTGGAACTTATTGGTTGAAGACACATCCTTGTTCATGGTTCAACTGCATTGAAGCAGCGGTGGAGATGAGACATTATCAGTGATGGTTTCAGATGACAGACCCATCAGTGGGACGTCCAGCCTAGGACTGAATGACTAACTAAGCCACACTGCTTTACCTGCAGCAGTGTGTGTGTGTGTGTGTGTGTGTGTGTGTGTGTGTGAAGAGACATGGGAGGTGTCAGTGTGTGAGGAGACATGGGAGGTGTCAGTGAGGTGTCGCTCCTCCACTCAGGTCTCTACGTACCCTGGGGAGTTTCCCTGTCAGGTGGTGTCACCATCAAGGTGATGTCATTGTGAGCAATGCAAAGAGCAAAGAGGGTGGATGATGTCACATGTCACCCTGCCTGGAGTGGGGACATGTTGTCATGTGTCACCACTCTCTCACAGTGGGTTAACAATATAAAAAGACTTGAACCTGGGTTCATCTCCACACATCCAAGAGGAAGAATGATGAAACACACAGTGAGGTATGGCTCTTCTTTTCTGCTTGATATGTTCAACTGGTATCGTTTGGTACATACACACATAAAGGTACAGTACACACAGGGATTAGCGGTTTGTTAAAGGGATAGCCAAGGTTTTTTTAGCTGTGTTTGCAGGAGGTGGCATACAGTAGCAGCTACGTTTACATTGATGTAATTATGTACAATTAAAGCAGTGTACATGTACACATTTGATCAGATCATGACAAATGTGAGGAGACAATAGTTAGTACCAAATCAGGGAACAACAGGCACAACAAGAGTTGTTGGTTACTATGGAAACAGAAGAAAAACTTCTTCTATAACTAACATCTCAATGCCTTTTTGAAGGCATGATATTTTTATTTTATTTTGTATATTTTTCTTTGCATTTTTCCATAAAAACAATTGCATGATTTGGATTAGTCTCGAATGAAAGAAAACATACATCTACAAATAACTGCTGTTATTTGTCTTTCTGCTCCAGCAACATAAAGAAAAAACTGGTTTTATTTTTAATATATTTTGGAATAATAATGTATCTCAATCAATCATGTTTAATCGTGATTAATCTACAGCTACCCCGTGAATTAATCACAATGAATACGGTTAAAATATTTAATTATATAACAGCCCTTATTACATTTATATATAATTTTCATACCAAATTCCTCTTCCATTTCGGTCTGAAGGACTCTCGTCCAAACTGATAATAAAAACATTTATGAATAAAAACATTCTGCATATGTGAACATAGTCTGTACTGACTCTGCACCAGCTGCTGCTGAGACCTGGAGGCTCCTGCCAAACAACATGATGGTCATTATTGTGTTTGAGCACACTTCAAAAACCCTACACTATCCCTTTAACAAGGTGTAAAGTGACTGAATCAAGTAGGGAATGTGAGCATCTGTGAAATAAGACCTGGGTCATACTTTCCATGATGGCAGAGGTGTGTGTTTGTGTGATGCCAATTCAGAATGGGAGAATGTGTCTGATCATGGATGTGTTCTCAACTTTTTCATGTTTGTCAGCTGTGGATGTAATGATGACTTGAAACTATTCAGTGACATGTAAATGTGAGAGGTTGAACTGAAAATGATATGACATGTGAGAACAAAGCAAAATGTGAGAGCATTTATTTTATTTTATTATTTAATAATAAATAATATTAATATATTTGTATTATTATTTTATTTTATTTATATTTATTTTGCATCTGCCGAAACACATGGGAGAAAGTATGACCCAGACCTAACTGGTTGTCCTGTACCGATGTCAGAGTCGGCGCACAATAACCCTGACATGGACCGGGTTGACACCGCTGTTGTTGGCCTTTGCACAGTTTGCTGGCTGTCAGATGAGGTTGATTGTCCTTGCCCTCAGCTGGTCAATCCTTCTTCTCAACAGTGTCTGGATGGAAGAAAAACAAAGCCATGGTCTGAATTTATTTTTTCTTTCACTAATGCAACAGTAACATGACGCACAGGACACAGGACAATATCAAAGCTTCTCATGATTATGACTCGTGATGGGCATTTTCATTTAAGGCCGCCTTTTTATTTCTACCCATAAAAATACCAACTGATCTTTTTTTTTGTCAGTGCTGTACAAATGACGGAGAACAGTGTTGTTCTATGTATTTTTATACATTTTTGAAAACTTATTTCTCAAGACTTTTTCAGGAACTTATTGGTATAGTATGTCACTGTGATGCAAAGTTGGTATACCAAAAAAAGTATATTTTTTCTGA